AATGTCCGGTATAAATGAAACGCCCTACTTCGAAACCCATTAATCGTTTAACTATTGCTTGGCCAATATTTCCTAGGCCGAAGATGCCAACTGTAGAACCTCGTAAATCTTGTCCCAGCAACCATTGTGGTGTCAATCTTGATTCACCTCTTAATTATATTATCATGTATGACATCTATCACTATTTAATTTTCAGTTAAGCAACTACTTAAATGAAGACTGATAAAAATAGATTAAATAATAATTTTATTGCTTTCACCTATTCATATGTATAAATGATATGATAACATCATCTTTTATGTAAATATATGTGTATTAATTCAGTATAAATAAAATAATATAAAATAATAATGATAAAAATAATATAAAATAAAATGGAAAGATATTTATCAAACGTATCAAAAAGAGATCTGATATTCATTTAACAAAAATATAATGTTTTGATGTTATTGATTACATCTAATCTTATTGGCTTTTCAGCATGGATTTTGTTTGAAAAGCCAATAAGATTAGATAGCTATTAATTTCTATCCACTTCTTTCTATTATCTTATTTATAGGCTATTTAGCCTAATTTTTAAATTTTTTTCTCTCTCCATATACACACACACACACACACACACACACACACACACACACACACAATCCACATGAATAAAAAATTGAAAAGCTGTTCCATATAAAGTATTCATACGGAAAAAGGAAGTGCTGTTTTATAAATATAAATAGGAGGATGGAGAGAAATAGATTAACTTATATAATTTAAAATAAGATAAAACAATTACTCTTCCAATTTGATGCGACCTTCATGAGCGCGTCTTGCCGCCGATAATATTAAGAGCACCGCAATTTCCGCCACTGCAGTGGATACCACTATCGGTGTGTGCCCGACTTTGATTCCTCTCCTTTTAATTTCTGGAACATCTAAATGATCGTACCCGGTCGACATTGTCGATACGACTTTTAAATTTGGCCCTGAAAAAAAAAACGAAAATCGAATTCGTCACGATAAAATTTTGTAATCGCTTTTTTAGAAAAATATAATATCTAGCCTGTAAAAATAGGCAAATTTTAAGATGGAATAACTTTGTGAAAAATCATGGTATTGAAGTGTTTGAGAAAAGCCTTTTACAGCTTGAAATCTTTATTTTTCAGATCGGTACTTTAGAAAACGATCTTACTGATATTTTATAGAGTTATGCAAACATAAATGAAAATGCATCGAATCTCAAAGTTTTTTACGAAATTTGTCAAGTTCCATGGCGCGGATTAAAAATTGCACATAAATACGGATTAAAAATTGCAATAAATATTTTCGAAAGAGCGAATCTTCATCTTTCATTTGTTTTTTTTATCAAGCTCTCAGTACGATTATTTTTCATCGAATTATTCAATATTGAAGCAAGAAAGGCCTATCACTCGACACGACGATATTTTGTTTTTTCAATTTAAAAAGTACTAAAACTATTTAGCGCGTTTCAAGTAGTCGCGACTGTGCTGTCAGTTTTCATTATTAAATTAAATTAATCATAATTAAATTATTAAATTTTATTTAACTTTACATCATTTTAAATCTTATTCTTCTCTTACACTTTTTCATATTTTACTCTAGCATTTATAAGAAACGATCAAGTTTCAAGAATATATTTTTTTAAATAAAAATGTTGAATAATTAATTTCGTTTGAGAATATTTGAATGATCATATAATTATGGAATTGAAGAGCAAAAAGGAAGTTATATGGAAAAAATTAATAAAATAGATTTTTACCGGCAACATCGAGGAACTCGCTATTGACAATATGATGACTAGCGAGAAATACAGCGTCATGTCCAGGAAGAGCTTGCAACATTTGTTCTCGAGTGCTTATGTCAGCTGGTATAATAGTGACGTTACATCTATATCAATAATGTAACAGTAAAAAAATTAATGATTTATATAATCTTTCGAGTATTCCGGATTTATTCAGACTTACTTTGTGCGAAGCAAATCGATACCGGGAGCAGGAACATCATTGCTCGATACCAAAACACGTGGTAAAGCCGGTAAACTCATCACGCTGTTTAAGAAAATTGAAATAAAAATAATTGTATAATAAAATAAATGTATAATATATAAATGTATAAAATAAATATATAATAATTCTCTCGTATCAAACACGAATTCGTTGAAATCACTTGTGGATACTATGGACATATTATACTCACGTAATTTTTAAATATTTTACTTGAACAAATTCTTCTTGAACAAATGAAACAGAAATTAGTGCGAAGTCTTTTAGTTTGAAGGATCATTCATTGACACGTCACGCCGCGATTACAATCGTTGGAAGAAATTTGACAAACGCTAAACGCAACGAGATGTAGACTTCCACTATTTATTTTCACGTATAACTGTACTTGTACTGATAACAGTGATACCCAGTGACACCTATATCAGTATTCGACAGAATGCCTTGCTCTCGAGATTACATGCACCCAGATATATGCAACTAACGCAAATCGGTTTGTGACTACAAAACAAAGATAACACGATATTCATGATGAAACCAGTTGAACCTATCAAGCAGGAATTCTCATCCAAGTAAAAAATAAACCGTTAATCCCTGTATTCTGTGTCTCGTACTATGTGTTCATATAATATATAACGACAATTTTGCGCAGCTTAATTTTTTACTATAAAATAATTGCGCAACTCTTATTAGGAGCATATAACGATTGCATAACGAATTCTATTTTTGCTGCCAGGGTCGAAAGTAAGTGAGGTCGAATGAAGCAGGATGAGTTGGAACGTAATTCATAATCCGTATACCATACGATATTGCAATATATAGACTATACGCTCCATTGTCAACAAACACTGCTTCAATTTGTTTTAGAGAACATTTCATTCATCAGCGGACAAACTTTTTTTTTACCTCGCGAATACTAAAATAGTGAAACAATAGATAAAGAATCTCTCAATGTTTCGCGTAGTTGATATTTTGCAATAATGTGAATGCAGATATGCGATCAACGCTGAAGTCATGTTATCCTTTTCTTAATTAATTGTTAAGAAGAAGAAAACCCAATTTTAGCGTTCATCGCGTGTTTTAATTGCAACACCGATTTTTGCATATATATAGTGACATATACCGATCGAGTAGCGGAGATCCCAATAATGAATACTGCATACAGGTAACATTTTGCGAGACATGATGGCTCGATCGCGGACGGGACGCGGACTACGGACTTAATCGACTTTATCAAGGCGTTCATATTTATTGCACTTAATTTCTGTAATAAATGCATATAAAATAACTTAAAAAGTAACTTGTAAGTAAATTTTCTCAATCCTGTATTCAACTTTATAGCTGTGTGCAATTCAAACCTTGGAAGGAAAGCATACTTGAAATAACACCGCGTTCAAATTCACCGCGTATTCTTCCCTTGTTAATAATTCTGAGCTGAGTTCCATATTCCATTTAACGCTCAAGCCTATTCTACAATGTGCTCTTTGTTTTCCTTTTTGTTTTTTTTACCTTTTGTTTTTTTTCTCCTTTGCAACCATTTTATCAATGATTGTATTTCTTGGTACACATTTCTTGTTTCTTTCGAAGTTCATTAACTTTTATCTCGGGCGACATAAAACAAAAAATCGGAAAAAGCAAAAAAACAAGATGTAAATAATAGCAAAAAGCAAGAAACAGGGAAAAAGCATATTGTAGAGCAGACTTCACACGTTCGTGGAATCATTTATCCTTGTCGTTTATCAAAACAGAGGCAAACGCAAGTGTTGCGAGCGTTAAATATTGGCCAGGGATGTGAACACTATAAACATGCACGAGCATATCCTATACCCTAGTCTTTGGATGAATTCCCTGTTTCACGCACAGTCATGATCATGATGTGCATAATACATCATTTATCCTTCATTATTATTCCTTTCAGTGAACAATAATCCCATATAATCACGTGATGGGTGATATAATTTACGCATGGTTACAGAGGAGCCCTCTGCTCTGCCCTGCCGCGGAAAGATTTGATGCCTCCATTTAGCAGTTTGGCATCGCTGCACTGTACTGTACTACTGTACATAGTGTAACATAGTGCACATCAGTGACATCAGTGACATCAGTGGACTTAGGTTATGTTTCATCATATCGCGATTCGGATTCGTGATCGGTGCCACTGCCATGTATGTACGTACGTACATGCATGCGTACATACATGCGTATGTACGTCAATATAAATTAGTAAATTAGGAAATTACTTCCTCTGATGTTAAGGTGGAACCTGGTGGAACCAACGAGATCTCACATTTCAAAGTATCAGCCGATTGGGAACGTATCTGTCGAAAAATACGAGGTGACACGTCGAAAAGTACTGTACCTGTACGGTATTTTTTCATTTTGTCATTAGATTAGCAATCTATCATTATTACACTGGACTGCATGGTAAAATGACATTATTTGCTTATCTCTTTGTCTTATCATTCGATTTTTCACGCATAAAATTACGCATTCCTATGGAATGTTCAACGATTTTTCCCCATTTAAAAATCAAATTAATTACATCCAAGTTTCATTCTCTTTGCAGAAAGTTGAGTGAATTTTTCCCATTTTATTTTAAGAAAAATTCAGATTATACCTTTATTAATCTTGTGAAAAACAAATTTATATTTAATTATATTTTAAAATAATATGTGCGAGGTATTGCATAATCACTTCTATTCTTATTTCAATCGGCAGTTCTTTAATTCTTAATTAATTTTGAACTTACCTTTCTCTTGAAAAATCATTGATGAGGAAATAATCTCAATCTCTATCCTGTTTTTAAGTTTTTTGAAGTTTGCTAAAATTTAATTATTATAAAATTAACTGAAAAATAAGTCTGTCACATATCTTTTTTCTCCTGAAGTTTAGTTTATCAGAAATACAATAAAATAAGAAATTTATGGAAGTAAACATGGAAGTAAATGATGTACATAGAAAATAATGAAAAATATATTTTGTTTACTGGATAGATTTACAATTAAGATTTTTTTATATATTTTACTATGTTTTATTATGTTATTTTTAACTGCAATTCTTGGAGTAATATTTTTTGATAGTGAGCTTAAGTAGAAAAGAATCTTAATTGTAATACTGAGAAGAATGTATAAGATAAAACTGTTAATCATTGCTCTACAAAATATATGATATTTAAATTACATTTAATGTATTACTTTAATGGTCAATTGATATTTCATAATTATAGACCAAGTAGAAGTGGTTGGATTCTAATGTCAATTATTAGAGATGCAAGATGGAGCAGCTAGAAGTAACAGGGATTATACTAAGATTGTGCCTATTCAACATTCTAATGATAAACTGGATCAGTGCAACTGCAATAGCTCATAAGGATCAGTCTCGAAGTCTGATTAACTTAGGTGGTCAAGGCTTATATAATGCCAGCGATGATGTAGTAATACTCAATGCCACAAATTTCAAAACAAGTGTTTACGAGAGCACCAGGAGTTGGCTTGTTGAGTTTTATAACAGTTGGTGCGGCTTTTGTTACAGATTCGCACCGACATGGAAGGCTTTGGCAAGTGATGTTCTACGTAAGTTCTCAAGTAATCTCGCGAGCAAATAGAAAAGACGCTACTAGACATAACTATTTGTGTCGAATCTAGTTATCTGAGTAATCTTCTCGAAAAATTAAGTAAATTAAGACTTTTTAGTCGGAATAGGAAAGAGAAAACGGTGACTAATGAAATCGTTTATTTTTTATTCATTTACATATACTACATAATAATTAAATAAATACAGATATATAACATAATAATTAAATAAATAAAAATAATGTTTTAGCTTGGAATGACATTGTCGTCGTTTCGGCTATAGATTGTGCCGATGATGACAACAATCCGATCTGTCGTGAGTACGAGATTATGCACTATCCAATGTTAAAATATTTCTCTATAAACGCACACTCGCCGTCCTTGGGTATAGTGATAGAAAAGGGGGACAGCATTGATTCAGTGAGAAGTAATTTAATTGACAGGCTTGAAACGGAACAACAGGAAGGACGAGGATCTACATGGCCTAACATTGCACCATATAGGTATGTCAAAAATTTTCCATAGCTAATTCCTGTGTATGTATCTTCTCTTATAACTAAACAAAAAATTATTTTTGTTTTCCGCATATTTTTTATAATTTTTTATAATTATTTATATAATTCGCAATTTAAAGGCAGACCATAAGATACATAAAATATATTTATAATTATTTCGTTAGGGTTTTTTTTTATTAAACATGTTATCAAATTTATAATAATTTAATGTTTGTGAATAAGACGAAAAGGCAATTTTTTTCTTTCGTAATTGTGAATAAGTCAAGAAAATAAATTTTTCCAAAAAAATTTTTTCTTTAATCCTCTTAAATTAGTTATTTTCTTACAACTAGTAAAAATGTTATTAAAGACTTTTGTTGTACTTTTTTCAAGTTTTGTTATAATTTTCCTAAAATTCCATTTGCATGATTTGCGACGAATAAAATAATTTGTACATATTTACTAAAAGTATATAAAGAATTGTTTTAGCACTTTAGAGCACTTTAAGCTTGACTGCTTAATCTTTATTTCTTATCCGTTGTGTGTTCACATCGCGCAATCTAATATGATACCTACTTAATAATACAATAATGTAATAGTAATGAAAATATATTATACACACACATATATATATATATACAGAGTGCGTCACCAAAATCCGGACAAATTTCAATTTAAATTTTCCTCTATATTGTGCTTCCACCAGAGGTTGTTGTTGACATCCGAGCAGTGTTGTTAGATGAGACGGGTTTCAGACGGATGTATGCGCATCCAATATAGCTTCAGTAATGTACCGGATTACGTCACTAGTAAATAGGAGATCATTAGTCGCCTATATAAAATTTTTTCAAAAATGAAAAAATATATTATATATATTTATATATATGTATACGTACGTAAAATATGTAAAATATATTGAAATTTTCAACATTTTCAATCCTAAGCGATTAATGATCTCCTATTTACTAGTGACCGGTACATTACTGAAGCTACATTGAATGCGTAAGCGTCTGAAACCCGTCTAACAACATTGGGCCTGTCTAAGAAGCTCCGCACAATAAAAGAAACAGGGAACAGAGAACAGAGAATAAGAATTTCAACCTATCAGAAATCATGTATTGTGGAATACACAGTTTCTGATAGGTTGAAATTCTTATTCTCTGTTTTCTGTTACTTTTATTGTGCGGAGCCCCTAACAACATTGCATCCAAGAAAGCCTGATACTTCTAGTCATATTCTCAAAATGGCCGCGATGTTGAAACCAAGTGCGGAATATAATCGAAGA